TGTTTTCAGGCACGCTTTTCTCTGGTCCCTGCCACAGCCAGGCTCTAAGATGGAGAGGAAAAAAACTTGCTTGAAAAAAATGTTGCCACCCTTTTATTGGCAAACGTAAAAGATGATGAGAAACTTGGTCTCTAGAGATGAATTCTACATAGACTCATGGACGCAAGCTTGCGACCCGCCACCGAAAGGTAGCATTTGCTTGGGCTGGCCGAGGCTTGCAATATAGCAGCAGCTGGTTTTTTAAAAATCTTATTTTCTTAGAAATGTGAAGAAAACATATTTCAGTCTCTATGCATTTTAAAGTATAGATCAACAACAAGCCAAAAAAATAAAAAAAGAGAAAAAATGGGAGATTCGATTTTACTGTAACTCATGTCTTTTCCTTTTCCCCTTTCCAATCTGCCAATTGGAATCTCCGATCCAGAGTTGGAACATGAATTTTTCCTCTCCCCATGATGTGAATCTGTGATCGCATAGGGGATGACTTGAGTCCCATGATACTGTGGCTTATTCAGACCAACACTCAGTAAAAACGACTGCAAAAAGACACATCTCTTTGTTCTGATTGAACAGTTTATCTTTTCCCAAACGAGCCTTCGTTTCCACCAATTTTCCACTCATCTGAAAGACACCATCCCCATACTGTGTCCCAAATAATGTAAAATAATTTAAGAAGGAAAATGTTTTAAGTTACTAACATTATACAAATATGAAATAACCCAGATTGTGGAAGGATAAATATTATGTCTAGAAAGACATTTATAGTAAAAGTATAAGAAAGGGACTTCATTTTATACAAGTGCTGGAACACTACTTTGAAAGGGGCAGTGTTTATGTGGCCAGGGAGATCAACACAAATAGCAAAAAATCCACTAAGAAATGAACCCTTGTCCGGACAGCGCATAGAATACTTGGCCTCATAATTCATAGGAATTGATTGGAATTGGAATTGTTCGGCAGCCAGGGCTGATGCCTGCTGGAGCAGAAGCTGCCTGTCAGTGGCAGGATGTGCCCCCTCCTTGGCCATTCTAAAGTCTGGCCAGGTACTTTGAGTGGCCACTACTCCCCTAATTAACCAGGGCCTGCCTATTGCAAAGCCAGATGTTATGCAAACAGCACAGGGAGCAAGAACATGATTTATTCACTTTCCAGGGAACTAACATGTGAAGCATAGTGCTAGTCTGACCCTCCATGGTCAGTGCAAAGCTCCGAACTCACAGGCCGGGCCTCTGTGGAGCTCTGTGAGGTCTGCAAACAAACCCCAGAGGCTCTGGAAACTTAAGACCATATGTGAAACATTGCGTACATGTGCAGTTTCCCCCTTGGGAAAAGTCTTCCTGAGGATTTTCAAAACTATCGGTGATGTTTCTAAAAGAGTGAAAATCATATTTTTAGGAAAAATAAAAATCTGCAGTGGATTCCCTTTTCCCATTCGCAATGTGGTTGATGATGCTGTTAGGTAGGTTCCTTCTTGAATTCTAAACTGGAATTACTAAAGCAGCATTCACTGATGGATTGATTCCTTCCAGCTAATTAAATACTACAACAGGGACAGAGCCCTCTCAGGTGTCACTGCTAAAATTTCTTAAGTCTCTCACCTGAAGCCGTGATCCATTTTTTTCCCCCTAGTACCGGGGATCAAACTCAGGATCCTGTGCTTTTGAAGCAAACACGGCAACACTGAGTTAAATCCCCGGCCCAATGATCCATTTTCTTGTCATTCTAATTCCATCAATGGTACCTGCCTTAATTGTAGGTGTAAAGTGATGTACACTGCTGTGCTGATTAATCTCACGGAGGAGGTTTCCTTTTGACCCTGAACTTGGATTTCCTAGAGGTGACTGGATAGTCCCAGGCCCCAGGTTAAATTGTGCACAGCTGGGAACAGCCACCTGCGTGCTCTCTGATCTGTGGAGTTTCATGGACTTCCCAGAGCCCCTACCTCTCATCTCCTGGGAGCTGGGAGCGGCTATCTCTTCCTCTTTTGTAAAGGCAAAGTCAGTTTACATGGAGATACTGAATCAAAGGAAGAGACATTCCAAGGGTGAGATACACCCAGAAGGAGATTTAAACTGCCAGGGAGGAAAAGGAGTGAACGGAAGGGAGGAAGGTGCATGCTGCTGAGGCCTTCACCAACATCTTTAGGGGCCAGGTAGTCAGGAGGGCCCTAAAAGCTGGAAAGGCAGGTTCTCCCAGTTTCGGGCTTAACCTAGGTTAGGAGCTGTGATCCTGGACATCAGCCAGCACGCAGACAGATCAGTTTTGTAGAACAGAGAAAAACCCTTCCATGGGCAAACTCTGGCACTTTCTACAAGGCTTATGATCCCCACGGTGTGGCACCTGGCGAAAAGAAAAAAAAAAAGGGGGAAACATCTACTTTTTATTCTCTCCAAAGCACCGGCCTCTTGGAGAATCCATTAGACTAGTCAGTCTAGTGACAGCTTTTGACAGAACTCAAAAGTGGCACTGAAGTGTGGCTAAGCCAAAGGCTAGACCACTGCACTGCAGGTCAATGCCAAAGGAACATTTTTAAAACGAGAAAACTAAACAGAAGGTAGCGTTAAGATCACTGAATAATGAAACTGCAAGAATAAGATTCCGTGAGGAAAATTAAGACTAATTGTCCCAATTTCAGGATATGTGCTGCTGAAGCAAGCACAAGACTAATTGTCAAAATTAGTGAGACTCATCTGCTCTCCTCAATGGGAAGCAAATTGTAGATTAAAAAAACGAAAAGGATGAAGAAAGAAAAAATCCAGCAGGCTTTGATGTTGACTCTTACACTTGAAAGAGCAAATTCAAACTGTACTTTATGACCATGGAGTGAAATTATAAGACAATCAAGTTGGGCCTCTTGACAGCTCATTTCTGTCTTATAGCATTGATGGGGGGAGGGGAGAAACACCTTAAGACCAACATTGCACACGGTAATCATAATTGGGTCAGATATTCAGTTAGGGTTCCTGTATTTATGATTACTTATTATCACTCACCGGAAGGAGTTTCAAAATAAATACTGTCCATTTATAGCATTTAATTACTTTTCTCATTCCAAAGTATGAGAAGACAACCCAGCCTCGGTTGCAGCTATTTTACTTTTGGGGTTTATGGAAACTCAAGGGCACACTGGCACGAATCAGGAAGCCAAACGCAAACAATCCACACCTTGGGGAAACAGTTCACTACTAGCCAAGTAAACACAAGCACACACTATTAGTCACACACCTATTAGTCACACACTCAAAACAGAGATGGCCAATGATGGAAGAGAGAGTGGCCCTCACCACCAGAAAAATAAGCACGCTGCTTTCAAAATCTCTTTCTTGATTATCCTTATCTTACTGCGCACTGCTGAAAGGCCACTACTGAGGTTCTAATGGGAAAATGTCACTGGATGAGCCACTGAATAGCTTTCAAAACTTTTATAACCCAAAGCTGACACATAGAGCTGCACAGATGCACATAATCATATTCTCTCTGGACAAGGACCCGCACGACACCCAGCTATCTGTTGCAAAGGTAGCAATCTACGAGAACTGAATTGTGATTGCTAGCTAGGCAGGTGGCATGGCCCTGGCTGTGGTTCCTTTCTTTCTTACTGGCTTCTCATCCACTTTGCCAGCTACTCATCAGAAGCCTTCCAAATGTTTTCTAAACACATATCTCTGAATCATAATGCAAATTCCATTTACTGAAAGGCAGAGAGTTTTAATATAACAAGTGAACCCATTTAATGACTGATGCTTTTATATCTTATGGCGTCCCTCATACTTTTAATAAGTGGATATCATTTTCTTTATGTTGCCCTATTATTAACATAATACTATGAACATATATTTTCAATCATTTTATAAGTTTTGTTTATTTTCTCCCACTACAATTCTATTATGAAAATGCTCCAGACAGCAAGGATAGCAAAAGACAACAGCCCAAATAATCAGCACACGTTCACTCCTTTCTTTCTTCCACTGATGAAATTCTCCAAGGACACAGATTTTCTAATAAAGAGCAATGATTACTCTTATTTGTAATTGTCCATTAGTTGGTATTTCTACATTTTCCAACAGACTGAAATATTACTATTACTTAGGTACTTATCATGTCCCTTTTATTTAACTGGAAATCACTTTTATTCCTACACTTATTTTATATAGTATTACAAAAATGAATTTCCAGAGCAAAATAGCCTACCTTTCTCAATTAAGCTTTCAGTACTTTCAGCTCTTGATAATATATGACATAGATTCTTACAATACAGGGAAAATGCAATACTGGAAAATAATCAGAAACCAGAGAAGTTTATAATGAGCCAAGATTTCTCTTTCTGCTTAAATACTTTGACAATGGGTTAAAGATAAAAATAAAACTTAAACAATGCAACAATTTCTTTGGAAAACCTGGTCTTTCACATTATTGGTATCTAAAATGTTAAGTGTGCCCGATTTCTCCCCCAAAGCGTAATAAGGCATTCAAAAGAAATCTAACAGGAAAGTCACATTCCCTTCTTATTTGATCCTGAAAAGGTACACTTGCATGGAACTTTGTTTCCACATCAGACACTAAGGATTTCGTAAAACTTATTTGAAGTGATCATTTGAAATCCTGATACTTGTCACAGATAGTCCGTAACTCACAAGTTAAAAGCTTTTATTAAATAGATTTTCTGTTATGAAATAGAGTTTCCTCATGCTAAAAATCTTAGTGTTCATGATAGGTAATTTTTATATTTTCACATTTTAGTAAAATTACGAGGCATTTTGTTGAAATTCACCTTTCATATTTTACATGCTCTAAATCAGTCTTAAACCATTCAGTAATTGAAACCAATACTATAATGTTAGGTTCTGCCAACAATATTAAATTTTAGATATATATTTTTAATAGCTTGACAGAGCCATAACAGTAAGAAAGAACATCACAGAAAATGCTAGACGTTTGGAAATCTGGGTTTGTTGCCATGTGCAAACTTTGTTTTCAGTTCAGTTCTCACAGATACATACCTCTCCCACTCCGACCGACAAACCTGAGGTCATTGAATCTTGCGACTTGGTTCTTCATGGCCGCAGTAGCATTTCTGAGCTCGGCTGAGTAGTTTTCATCATTGCCGGCCATCACCGTGACCAGGGTACCATCCGGAACTTCCCCCAGAGCCACCACCTAGACAGGAGCCAGGGACAAAGGCAGACATCAGGAATGCTATACGTACACTTTTATGTCATCTGTGTAGCTGCTGTTCTAAAATTAAAGACACTCTTAGTTTGCAGAGGAATAGCAACTGTAACCTAGTCACATAATATAACAGTCTGTTAATGAGAACACTTTTAAAATTCCATTATGCATACCTAAATATAAAATTTCAAATAAGAAAACACAAGATTTACCTAATAAAGCCACACAGTCATACAACATAGAAGCAGACTAACAATAACAAAGACTTGGAGAAGACATGCCATCTCATGAATGCAACTGTCTCTTCTTAATTCCTCATATCTGAGAAACAGAATGTCTTCTGTTCCTAAGTTTATAACCTGACCCATCTTTCACTCGCTCAGACTGCCACTGGTGGGTCTAACGGAACCCAGAATTCACTTTTCAGTACTTAAAATTAAGTTCAATCTTTGCTATGATTCTCAAGTGACATAAACTGTCCCTTGTTAGTTCATCTCTGGTATTCCTGTGTGTTTCTATCATACTGAGCATCATTAGCAGTGAATTCTGGCAGGCGAGAAATGTACCCACTGGTTGCTACTAATTACAAAAGTGACAGACCTCAGAGAGAAGGGACTCCCGCTTTAGTCATCCTCGTCAAATCAGGGGTGGAACTGAGCTGCATTTGTGCATTTCTAAAGATGTGTTAATTATATCCTGATAGACTGAGGTGTTCTCCAAACCCAGCTAATTTTCATGAGGAATGTGCTTTCAATGTAACTGCAAAGGTGTATGGCTTATCATCAAGGCTATGGACTAAAACCAGCCGATCACTATTTTTGATACTCAGGGAATTTAAAAAGCAGTCACTGCAAGCTAAAGTGTTCTTAAGAGCATGGCCTGAAGATGCTTCCTTGTGCAACACGACCTATTTCTTGGCCATTCCATCTGACCCTTCTAGAAAATATTTCCTTGGCCTAGACATTTATTATTGGTCATTATTTCCTTCCTTTGAGTTTTTCATAGTGGTTGTACATTTTCAAATCAAAATGATCCAACTTGCGTGTGTTCCTACCCTTTCTGATATCCTTTATGGTACTTTCACGGTCAGTAGAGAAATTTGTATTATTCATACCACTGTACAGTTTTTGATGGTTGCTTATGAATCCGTAATAGTAAAGCACTCCTTAATCTGTTATTATTCTTTCTTATTTTCTGCCTCCCAATTTTTACTAGTACTTCGTGGGCTACATCATTTTCTGTTGGGACTATTTTCAGTCCTTTTTCTGTATGTAAATAAGGCTGCCACAGATTAGCTTATCTGATATCAAAGTCATGTTTTTCAACATTCCCATCTTCACTGTGTGCTTAGTCATGACCCCTGCCTTCCCCGTGTCCTTCAGATGACTCTGTGCTGTTTTTATTCACTGTGGCTGCTTCAGCTCCTTGTTTCAAAGGAGCACAACAGAAAATGAACCCAGTGGCTGTGGACCCGGAGACCTCCGCAGGACAATCTCCTTTCTTGGTACTGGTAAGATTTTGCCCACCTATTTCATCCAACTTGCTCTGAGGAGCAAGGTCAGGGCCTTGCATCTGTTTTTAATCCTTTTGTTTCCATTTTTGGACGTGTTTTCTACAAAGGAAATTTTAAAACACCGTTTATTCTCTAAATAATCTCTAGTTAGGTATTTTTCTCCCCATTAGAAGTGTGCTTGTTGACATTTAATTAAAAGCAATAATGTGACAATTCTCTTGTTTCAAAAGACAGTACTGAAATAAATCTCCTTGATTATTGATTAGTTACCTTTTCCTTCTATTCTTACAAAATGTGCTTGCTTTATCCTGCTTTTTCTAGTCTCTTAAATTTTTTCCCATTTTTTTTTTCAGTTTTCACTTCCCTCTGTGAAATTACCTCACAGTGTTGAAATGTCTTCCTTGAACACATATTTTTACTTCCTCATCTCCATCTCCCTGTGGTGGCCCTGGTTTTCTATTTTAATTCACTACTCAATATGTGTACAGGGTACTGGATCAACCACATGGCTTTCAAACTGAATCACCATGCAATGACCGCTGTTTCTCTTGTGCTCCACCTTTGAGACTAATACTGTCCACCTTAGCAATTTGGCAAACCCTTGAGACCTTCACCAGACAGAAACAAATAAAGCACGAAATTATCATGGAGGCAAGACAAAAATTGCTGGTGTTGGAATTTAAGAACAAAAAATGGAGTGTAACTATGACTGCTCCCCCTTTTTAAATGCAGCGGAAATCAAAGATAGTTGGATGTTCCAATATCACCATCATGGCCTTTTATTTTTATCTGTAAAGGATTTTTTTTTGGGGGGGGTGAAAAGCAGCAAAACCAAACCCCAGAAAATTTCATTAACAATATATATATATATATAT